AGTAAGTAAGTAAGTACGTAAGTAAGTAAGTAAGTAAGTAAGTAAGTAAGTAAGTAAGTAAGTAAGTAAGTAAGTAATGTAATGCATGTAATGTATGTACGTATGTATGTATGTGTGCATGCATGCATGCATGCATGCATGCATGCTTACATACATGTATGCATGTATGTATGTATGTAATGTATGTATGTATGTAATGTCATGTAATGTCATGTAATGTAATGTAATGTAATGTAATGTAATGTACTGTAATGTATGTATGTATGTATGTATGTATGTATGTATGTATGTATCCTTGCACTTCCCCTTTGCTCCCCAGTATTTCCCGCAAAAAAAACACGGTTTTTCCAGCGTTTTCGCAAAGAGGACGTCCAAAAACATTGAGTTTTTCCAGATTTTCGGCAAAAGGATGCAGGAAGCCCAAGCCAGCAAAAAAGCCGGCAGGGGGAATCGAGCCTGGGACCCCTGTTTTGCGACACCGGCTCCCCGAAGACTACGTTTAGTGGAACGTCGTCATCAAATTGCCGCGCGGTACGTGGGGGACCCCCCCCCCCCCCCCAAAAACCTACGTAATAGACGTCGGGCGGGGGGGGGTTAGGGGGGGGGTTATCCTCTATCCTCTAGTAAGTATCCGACACGCCGAGCAATGTCGGCGGACTTGGACTCTGCATTTCGATTGGCTTTTGTGGAAAACAATCAAGCCCACCACAGGCCTGGTCGGACGCTGCGGAAGTGGGCTGCTTCGTTTTGGGCCCAGTTTTCGTTTCGCTTTGGCCGCCTCCATCGTGCTCCTGCGCGTGTTCCATTGGAAGAATCCGGGCAAAGGCCAAGTTGCACTACCCAAAAATGGGTTTCGCTTTGGTACCCAAAGCCAGGCCCCTGCCTGGCAAGCAGCCACGCCTACAAGCGGGCCCGAATGTAGGTGCCCGAAAGTGGAGGTTTTGGATGGTCTTGTCTAGCGCAGGTGCTTTTGTTCCTGCAATGAGTGCATGGCGCAGAACCTCACACTGAATATAGGAGGATACACGCCTCACACCTGCGTCACTGGAGCTTTGCCACTCCCATTCTATGACATCGACGCCGCGGGGCTCCAAGCTCACCGTGGAGCAGGCGACAACAACTTGATCACCGTCTACGAGCAAGCAGTTTGCATGAGACATGCAGCTCTCACTGCAGCAACGCAGAGCATCATCGAGTCACGGCTCGTCAGGGCCGGCAGAACCAGACCACCCAGTTCCTCTAGCTGAGATGATTCCTGGAGTGACTGAGTGACTGAGACTGAGTTCCACCGCGATTGTCTGGATGATTTTGGTTGGCGAGGTCCGGACTTCTGCTGAAAATAGGTGAAGGCAATGCCATTGTCGAGTACCAAGGCAAGCCCTACTTGATTCCTCTTCGATGCCTGAGAAGGTTCCGCGGTGTCTACTACAACCACACCAATCTGGAGGAGGATTCTAAGGAGTTCGACTCATGGAGGGCTCTGCGGAGGTTGATGAGAAAAGTCGAAGAGATGAAGCCCTAAATGGAGAACACCATCGGTTGCATCAATGTGAAAGACAAGTAAGTGGTGATGTCTTCCACGAGATCTACGAAATGATGAGAGAGACAACTTGGTGAAGGACATAGCGACGGCCTCCGGCGCGAATGTCACGGAGTGCGAGCCGGCATCGGACTCAGGAAGTTGCGCCCCATCAAGAACACGGTGGGGTACCTACTGTGCTGGCCAAGAAACAGCAACAGGTTCTCTCTGATGGACAACGACAAGGGGTCTGTCATGGTCACCAAGAGGCTCACCACGATCAGCAAGGATGACAATTGCATGTTGTTCTTCTACCGCTACAAGGAGGAGAGCAAAGAGGACCTGGCGACAACAGCGCCCAAGCCGAACACTATGTCGGTTGAACCGCCTGCGATTAACAGGGGCACGCAGGAGACGAAGGACAACAAATGCGCTGGTCCAGACTCTCGCACGGTCACGTTCGCTCCGGAGAACAAGAAGGAGCGAGTGAACTTCACAGAGGAGAACTACGTGAACATGGATGAGATCTTTCTGCCCATGTACAACAAGAGAAACGTCCTCCAGCAAACGGACGCCAACCACGCCAAGGTTGAAGACGAGATCGTTTCAAAGAACAAGCAGGAGACCACACACCTCTTTGCGATGCCCAGCAACCGTGGTGAATACTACGCCGACATCCTCAAGGGCGGCATCTTCCGGGTGGATGAGTCTACGGAACATCCTGGAAGACGACGTGTACCCGATATGGCAACAAGTCGAAGCTGCGGACGTGAAGGTGAGACAGTTCGTAGAGGAGAAGGCCTTCAAGCTTGTCCGCAAAGACACACTGGACGCGAACACCATTGTGATCGACTCCATCTGGGTAAAAAAGATGGAAGAAGAGCCTGAACTCCCTCAACAAGTTCGAGAAGTTTGTGAAGTCATGCCTGTGTGCACGAGGTTGCCACGACCCCTTCAAGAACGACATGAGCAACAGGAGCACCACGGCAAAAAGGTTGAGTCAACAGCTTTTGGTGGTGACGGCGGCCAACAAGAGGAGCGATCCCATCGAGAGTTGAAAGGCCAATGGCGCCTCAGACAGGCCGTAGCGCACATGAGGATGTGGTTGTCTTCCTCACCTGCTGGCACCACCAATTCCTTGGAAAGGGATGCCAGGTGTCTCATCACGTTGCGTGGAACCACCACCGCCACCTGTCGTTGAACAGTACGGATTCCGAGATGTCGCAACTGCTTGTACAGCTTGCCATATGTCAGGCCTTTCAGAAAAGCACCTGCAATGTCCCTGCACCAGTTCCTGAAGGACATCGGTGGAGCGCAGTCGGCGTTCAATGAGAACTACTGGATTTGGCCTCAACCTGTCAAGGATGACAGCGTGTGTCAATGGGCCACCGCATCGATGACGACTCATGTCAACCTGGCAACGTCTGCATAGCAGTCATGGTTGGACAAGACCTACGAAATGATGCTGAAGAAGTTCAAGAAACTATCTCGGCAAGTTCTTCCGTTCACCCACTGCAGTTGTGTCTACTCTCGCATCGGCGACGGTTACAAGATTGATCACAAGGGCTACATGTGATGATGACCCGACAGCTGCTCAGACAACACAGCTGAGATCAGCCATTGGCGGACGGATGCGGGCATGCTGCGCAAGACCCGACATCATGGCTGAGCTGGCATCCCTGCAGAGCCTCGTGACGAAGGGGAAGGTCAAGCATTTGCGACAAGCTCAGCAGCTGGGAATCGAGCGCAAGCAAACGCTGACGCAGCATTGATCTACAAGCCTCTTCCACGCCGCGGACTTCGGTTGTTCTGCATTCACGACGCATCGGCAGCGAGCTCTACGAAGAACTAGTCTCAGGAGGGCATCCTGATCTTGCTCGTGGAGGACAAGGTCAACTTCGACAAGGACCACATCGTGGCAAGCGACGAATTTGCGACGGAGAAGATTTCAAGTGTTGCGCGCGAGCAGCAACAAGGCGAAGCGCATCAGCTACAGCACCTCTCATGGCGAGACACGGGCGGCAATCAGTGGCCTGGAGTCTGCAGTGCTGATTTCGGCCAGAATGGTGGAGATCACGACGGGCAAGGTGAAGCCGAATATTCACGACCTCCTGGCGGCGCAAGAACATGGAGCGCGTCATTTTCCCACGGACGCGGCGACCGACTGCCTGGACTTCTTTCAGTTGTCTGTTGGTCAAAGAACTTTGCCGCAAGACAAGTCTCAACGACTTTACGTGTTGGCGCATCGAGAAGCTCGAACGATGGGCAGATTGCGATGGCTGACGCTGCTTCCGACCGAGAGCATGACAGCTGACAGTTTGACGAAAACAATGGCTTGCCCAAGGATGGAGCTGCTGACGGCAGGGCACGTATCCTTCCGAAATGCTGGACACAGCATGGAGATGAAGCGGCTTCCGCATCAGGACACGGTAGACGAGGACGACCTCATCTCAGGCGACGATAAGATCCTCGAGAAGGCCAAGAAAAGGGAGAACTTCCTATGGTATGCCACAGCTATGGCAACGCTGGTGACAAAGAACAAACAATTTGTATTCTGGAGCTGCGCTATGGCAAGTTCGGGAGTACGAGAAGGTGACGATCATGAAGAAGAGCAACATGAATACCTCATGACGGGCATAGCGTTATTCATCGCGGTTATGACCCTCATCGTGGAACGCATCATTGGCACGCTTGTGAGAAGTGAGAAAGCGAAGCCCAAGATTGAGAGCACCAATGCGACTACCCAAACAGAGCCATATCCAAGGAGATCTCTTTGAACGAGATTCCGCAGAGTGCGCCTACGGCCACGACTACCACAACCTTTCCTCCCAGGGTGGCTGTGACTCTAAGCGGTGAAAGGTTTCATCGGCCCACATGCGGCCACGTGCGAAATCGTCGCACGAGAATCGTGACGCCATGTCAAGACTGCCTAAGCTGAAGCCTTGTAGGACCCAGAACGCGAAGCGGAGTGAAGTTTCACATGTATGCATGGGTCAACTGTAGCCTGGGCTTGAAACATAGCAAAAGGCGCTTTGTTTGAGTATATGGTTTATCAAGCTGCACAGGCCTGCAACACCCTCTAATAAGTTTCAAGAGCCTTTTGATTCTCATGTTTGACGAGGGAGCGTTTCAGTTTCGAGGGTTGAGGATGGCCGCTCTGAGTATAGGGGGTAACTAAGAGGAAAGCCTGAAAACGTTCATAAGGAGGCAGAGGCGGATGCATACTGATGTTTGGTGTTCTGTGCTCAAGCCAATTCCGCTTCGGTGCAGAAACTGCACAGTGAAGCTGTCTCACTGTCCGCGAAGACCGCGGCTGCACCTTAGGTGCTGGGAATAGCTGGGAAATCTTCCCACATGTTCAACAAGTCCATGTGCCTGGGCCCAAATACTTAGCCACAAGACATCGCCAGCAACTTGCCTCAACTGGAAGGTTCCTGCAAATGTGAGGTGGCAACTCCAAACGAGCTCTCCGCGTTTTCCGGCAACTCACCAGGTCTCCCAAAACGAAACGTCCGTCGCCGGCCCTCCCGCCAGCTGGTCGCTGCGGCCGCGCCATGCCGAAGCAGAAGCTGCCGAAGCTGCAGGCCAATGTGAACAGGCGCCTGGCGCGTCACGTGACTGCCTGAAGCCCCTTCTCACTTCCTGGGTTGGACTTCTCCACTCGAGTGAGACTTTGTTCAGTGTCTTCCTGAGGTTCCGTGGGCCGACTTGCGAGAGATTGAGACGAGTGTTTCCCGCAATCTTCCGCCAGAGGCCCTTAGATGACCCTATTTTTTGGACCCCCCCCTTTCGAGCCCCCCATCCACAGAGGGTTTGTTTAACGGTATGTCTCAGGTTCCATGTTATTCTTGCTTCCCGAAATCTTGCAAATCGACCAACCACCCTGGTGTTTTGCAACAAGTCGCAGCGCTTTCCCTCGTTGTGCGATCTGCTTAGGCAGGGCTAAAGCAGGGGCGGAGCTTTGCAGCCCATTTAAAGGTGATATTGGGGGGGGGACTCATTTGACTTTTTGTTTGTGCGCGCAAAGCCACCGTACGACGTCGCAACATTGCGTGGGTCAGCTTCTTGGTTTGCCAGCATTTACAGTTGTACTGACCTGATTTCTCCAATGAGAGTGGGTAAAGTGTTTGCCAGAAAGGAGTATTCAGGTGCCAACCGTGGGCATTCACTGCGAGAAGAGGGTGTATGGAGTATGTTGCCAGAATGGGTGAGAAAATTCATGTAGCCGGGGGGGGAGGGTGTAGAATGCTGCCGGACTGTTGTCCAAGCGCCTGAGAAAGCTAGATCGTGCCAATGTGCTCGCGGGAGGCCACGACGGAAAGGAGAAGAGTGGGTCTCGAATGCTCTGGCCTAGGCATTTCAATCTGGAGCGGAGAATGGCCTGGGCGGGTAAGTAGTGTTGGAAGATGTTTGTGGGCCTGAGAGGAGAGGAAATCATTGCAACTCTGAACTTGATGTAGGGCACTTGCAGTGACGGAGCTGGGGCTCCAGAAAAATTTGGGACTCCGCTGAGTACGTTGGATGGACTGCACCACTTGTATATACACATGCAGTTTGCGCTTGACAGAGAGAAATGCTTGTGTCAAGGGTTTTTGCCGCTCCGGTGGTTTGTGAAAGGCCATTGGGCATTAGCCAAACTCCAAGATATCTGCTGGAAGCGCTGGGAAAATGGGCCCGTACCTCGGCAGAAGGTCTCCAAGGACAAGCTGGGTGGAGTGGGCGGTGACAAGTTTGGTTTTTCGTGGTACTGCAAGGAGTGCGGATACTAAGTGTTGGAATGTGTCATCCTCACGCCGATGTCACGCAGGGGGGTATTTGGAAAAGGGCTCAGGTGTGCTGGGCAAATGTGCTGGAGACGCCAAAGGCCGCAAGCAAAATGAACAGCCGAACTCCCAAATCTGGGATGACGACTTGCACAAGGGGCTCAGGCACCCCCATTCTGAGAAGCGAAGAAACAAGGTGCTCAATGGAATCGAAGTCTGAAGGCTTGAGACCAGTCAAGCAGAAGGAAGTAAAAGGGGGCAGTGTGTCTTTCATAGAGCTCAACAAGCCACGAACCAGAAAGATGAGCGAGCGTGGCGAAGGCTCAAATTGCTGCACAGGAAAGAGGTGATCGACAGCAGCCGCAAATTGGGACTGCACGAGAGTTTGTAAATTGTGCGGCGAGGCAAATACAACTGTATGAGGAAGGATCTTTGCAATCCTTGCACTCTCTCCACCATCGGCTCACTCAGTGAGATGTGATGCCTTGAGCTTGCAGCTTTTCGAGCCTGTGGACTTGACCAGCCCTGTTCGCATCGGACATCAAGGTGCGCCCTCTTGATCATCATCGGCGGCTTCTTTCCCAAATGCTTAGTTTTCACATAGTGATGTAGGAGCCACTCTTGCAGCCGAGCTTGGGTGCGGTCAGCTTCCAGTGTTCGTTCGTTAGTTCACGCCCAAGCATGGATGGCCAAATATGGATGCCATAAGGGCAGTCGCCAGCTCTTGGGGTATCATTTGGACCCCAAAGAAGTTTCAGTTATGACCTATTCAAGAGATTGTTTGGCCGAACCACTGCGGCAGTTGGTCGATGTTTTGCGGGATGTTCGGAATGCAAAGTTCCACCCTGATTTGACCCGCTCAGGCTATAAAGCCAATCCCCCAGTGGTAGTGCGTCACACGAGTTCGTTGAGGAAGGATGTTCCTCGTCGTCCGGTGGGACTTCCGTTGTGGCTCACGCCGATGAAGGCAAGGGGACAAGTGTCACCAATGGTGACCTGATTGCCGCCCCGGTCGATGTGACCAGTGACGGGGAAAGCGAGGCAGTCAAAAGTGCCGCCGCCCCGGTCGGATGGACCAGTGAAGGGGCAAGTGCGAATGCGCACCCTGTTGATGAGCGGCCGCCTCGGTCGGATGGACCAGTGATGAGGCAAGTGCGAATGCGCACCCTGTTGGTGATGGCCAGGGTGCCGATGTGGTCCCTGTGGAAGACACGGTTCGTTCAGTGTCTCTGTTGTCGGATCAGTCGGATTCAGAGTCCGATGAAACCGGCAGTGTCGCGTCAACAGCGGAGGCGTTTGGCCTCCCGGCCACGGGGCTTCCACCGGCTGAGCCGTGGTTTGCTGTTCGTGAGCCGCTCATGCTGCATGTGAAGCTGAAGACCGTGCATGCACGATGGCAAAGCCACGCCCGATTGTTGTGCGGGCGTATTGTAGCCAGTACCTACCAAGTGATTGGGCTAAGCAGTGATAAGCCTTGGCCCAAATGTATGCAGTGCTTCAATTCCAAAGAATTGGAGACATACCAAGAACCACTGAACCCTCCTTAGTGGTACCAATTCGACCCTGGATTCGCGAATTGAATTCGGACATCATGATCACAGTTTAAAATCAATGCCGACTGTTTGTCAATTATAGACTCGTCTCGCTCAAATATTGTGTGTCCAACTTTTCCTATGAACCGCACTATTGTCGGCGTGATGCGAGCTCAGGTTGGTACCTTGCCCAGCCCTCAGCCCTGCTTGCAGCTTGAGTGCGTACATTGTTGCACTGTATGTTGCTTGACGTCCTTGCAGTCGTGTCGTGTGTCGCTTGCTTCGCATGTATGACCGATCCGATCGTTGTGTTGGCCGTTGGTTGTGTGGGTTGGCGGAGTGAAGTCCGTCATATGAAGAGGCAACAATGGGGCAGGATGTGCCCGAGCCTCTCCCGGTTGAATGGTTGAGCGCCTGCAGTGTGCACCGCTCAAGTCTTGAAGCATAGAATCCCAGCCAAAGTATGGCGTTGCTTGACAGCACAGTGGAGTTGCGGAAGCGAGCTGAATCCTATGGGATGAGTGATGCATCATGCGACAAGTTCCTGAAAGAAGCCCCCACCTTGGCTGCACTAGCCTTTGTTCTGGGGGGGCAACCAGGTTCCATTCAGGAAGAGTCATTCCAGAAATGGACCGATGAGCTGGGCATTACAGATCAGCCTGACCTGCTTGCATGCAGGCGCCTTCTGTTCGAAGCGCACACGCTCATGATTGCGCATGTGAAAGAGCAAGTCAGTGGCTCTTCCTCGCAATCGGATGCGGGCAAACGCCTGCCGCCCCTCGAACGACAATCCCGCCTCGACAAGTTACGCAAAGATATTCAGGTCCCAGTCCGTGGAGATTCAGAACCAAGCCACGAGCTTGTCCAATTCTTCAGCGGCATGATAGAGGCCAGATGCCTCCAGCACATCCCATTGCACAGGTGTGCATCCCGTGAAGCGGAGGCGGCAGTCCCGCCCCAGGGACGCGGCAAGCAAGTTCTCCGCCTTGAGAATGGCGCCCTGGAGGTCTTCCAGCAGAATCACGTCAAAAGCGTGGACGTGACTGATGGCTTGCGAATGGCGGCTTGTCTTCATCGAAGGGCAGCTGCCATGGCCATTGCTGGACTGATCTCGTATGGGGTGGCCCAGAAATGGAGTGAGAAGTTGACTTCGGCACTGCTGCGCGCCGTCCCGAAGGGATTTTCTCGCCCTTGGACACGGCCTTCCCCACAGTCATGGTCCGCCCGGAGGTCTTGATCCATTTCATGCCTCAGCCAGGCCAAGCCAGCCGCCCACCAGCAGACCCCCCGCTGGCTAAGTGGCCACGTCTTTCGTCATATGGGGCAAGTGGAAAAGGCAAGTCCAAGGGCCGTGGGCGGTCCAAGAGCGGTGGGAAGTCGAAGTCGGACCCGGTGCGGGTGCCGAACCAACCAGCTGAGCTGCTCGGAAAAGGGCTATCCTCGACAACTCCGGACGGCGAGCCTGTTTGCTACAACTACAATCTAGCCCGCGGGTGCAACCGACCGGACTGCCCACGTAAGCATGTGTGTATGAAGTGCTTCGGCACTCACCCTCAGATGCAGTGTCGCAAGTGAAACGGCGGCGCAAGGGCCGACCCTTTGCCGCAGCTGAATTCGACGGGGCAGACTCCACGCACCGCATCTTCGGTGCGCTCGGTTTTGATACTGGAAGTCTTCGCCGGGTCGGCCCGTATTTCACAGGCGTGCCTCGCATATGGGTTTCAGGTCATCCCAGTCGATTCAGCGTCGGCTCCGGGAATGCGCAATTTGGTGCTGGATCTACGAAATGTTGCAGAACAAATTTTGCTACTAGAAATTATTCACCGATGCCGGCCCTTGTTGCCCCTACCTCACCATTCCAAGTGACTGGCCAGGATTCAAGGATTGGTGCTACCAGGTGATTGAATCCCAAATGCTTCTTCCGCTGACTCGTGTTGAAGAGCAATCCGACGGGGCTTGGCGCTGAGGATTAGAGCCGCAAGATAGAATAATGGGGATATGGCAAGACGGAGTCATGAGTGACAAATCCTGCATTTACTCATTTCTTGGACTTGGCTGCCTGAAGGCAAAGAATGGGGGATGGGGACTGCTTATGTGCCTGCCTCTGAGAAACCATCAAATTTGAAGGGTTCCCGCATTCATGGTGCTAGAGGGGGGTCTAGAGGCAAAGTGGCCCCCTTCGATCTCCAAGCGGTGGCGTGCTGAAAAGTCTAGCTCTATAAAATTGATAAGGCTGGTCACCGAGCTTGATGACACGGCATCCTTGAAGCTTTGGCCTGCTGCAATGTCAATGTCGGTAGTGGCAGTTGTATCAAAAGGGCGCTTATGATGTCCAGCTTCGAGCAGTGGCAGCGTGCTTGGGGTGGGTCTGAATGATGGTCCTGGTTTCGTGAGAGGAGTTCTGGAATTTGGAATTCTTTGCCTCAGGTGGGGCACAGTGGAAGATGCCTCATCTTGCTGTCTGAGAAATTGGTCAGGGGTCATTTGTGCAGTAACGACTTGTGTTCATGGCTCTGCAAAGCGAATGAAAAAGGTGGGGGGGGGGTTGTCAAATATAGAAGGAGACCTCATCAATCCTAAAACGGTAACCACCTGCCTTTTCTGGCGCCGGATTGGTCAACAACATTAAGCCAACAAAGGGCTTGTTTCCGGTCTCTCGCGCCACCCTGCCACGTGTGTTGGAGGTAGTTGATTTTGGGCCTGTCAAGGTATGTGCTCCCCTTCTTCCAAGAAGATGTTGCAATGTGGGGGGTCGAGCACGCCAAGTGTCTTGTCATTTGTTACTGGTTGCTTGGGGCTGGTTCTCACGCTTCCTTTTCAACAAGGAAGTTGCTATGTGTTCTTGAGAGTCCTGAAAAAGAACAGAAAGGAGAACCACTAGCACCCAAGTGACCGTGCAGGCGCGCCCAGCAGATCATCACAGCGCATATGCAGCTGGAGGTGGGGATGTGACCCACAAAGATTGCCACGTGAACCTTGCCGTTTGTGGGTACTCTGCAACTCCTTTGAACATCATTTTAGTGAGTTGATTAGAATTTCGTACCTCCCCGGACCTTTGCGTACGCCTGATACATCAAGGTACCCAGCAATTTGGGGAGAACCAATCCAGTGGCTTGCATGTATGGGTGTCTTAGAGTTTGAATTGAACCCCCTAAAAATGTATTCGTCTAAAGTTACCCTCAAAAAGGCAAGATACGAACCTTTGCCCTTTGCCAGGAACAGGGCATTGGTACCGTTTCCAACAGCGGAGTACCGATTCTCTCCAAGCTCGAGCGACGCTTGGCAGTGTCCAATGCTACTTTTCGGAAAATGATTGATTTTTCATTGGACCCAAAAAAAGTTTGAGTTTTTGTACAGGGTTCAACAAAAACCACTTTTTCAAATAGTACCCTGTTCATGTTCAGGGCTGCTACGTAGAGGAAAAGGGAAACCAGGCCGCATTTTGACTCACCGATTTGGAGGCAAGCTCCTTTGGTGCGCAGGCACATACATAAGAGGGGCGCTTGTCCCAAGCCACCGGCTGTCAAACTACCACAAGGACACCCTTCGACTAGCCATAAAAAAGGGGGGAGGCCGTTGTAACAAACACCTCTTAAAACTGCCTGCAAGCTGTGTCCCTCCTCAGCAGCGGCCTTTTGCGCGAACCGAGGAACTGCACCCAAAACTGCTCGCACCCACGATGTGTCGCATCTTTGCGATCAGCGAATGACGCTGGCGCCGTGCATTCCTGCCTCGCTGATTGAAGCTGAGGACCATGTTACTTGGCAAGTATAGCAGCTACCCGTGGGGCAAGCACGATAGGTGGTGTGTCTAAGATCGGATGTTTCTTGGTGGCGTGCTTTCCTGCCTGCCTGCCTGCCTGCATGCCTGTTTACTTGCCTGCTTTAGTTTTCGCCTACGGTTTCGCTTGTCTTCCTTGCTCGCTGGCTCCCTGTCATGATTGCTTGCATCTGTGCTTTCTTGCTTGCTTGCTTGCTTGCTTGCTTGCTTGCTTGCTTGCTTGCTTGCTTGCTTGCTTGCTTGCTTGCTTGCTTGCTTGCTTGCTTGCTTGCTTGCTTGCTTGCTTGCTTGCTTGCTTGCTTGCTTGCTTGCTTGCTTGCTTGCTTGCTTGCTTGCTTGCTTGCTTGCTTGCTTGCTTGCTTGCTTGCTTGCTTGCTTGCTTGCTTGCTTGCTTGCTTGCTTGCTTGCTTGCTTGCTTGCTTGCTTGCTTGCTTGCTTGCTTGCTTGCCGGCTTGCCTGCTTGCTTGCTTGCTTGCCTCCTTGCTTGCTTGCTTGCTTGCTTGCCGGCTTGCTTGCTTGCTTGCTTGCTTGCTTGCTTGCTTGCTTGCTTGCTTGCTTGCTTGCTTGCTTGCTTGCTTGCTTGCTTGCTTGCTTGCTTGCTTGCTTGCTTGCTTGCTTGCTTGCTTGCTTGCTTGCTTGCTTGCTTGCTTGCTTGCTTGCTTGCTTGCTTGCTTGTTTCGCTGCAGCGAGGTGTATCAGCTTGCTTTTGGCAAGCGGCGTCGCTCGCGGCCGTTTTGTTTAGCTGTGCAGTCTCTTCACCACTTGGGGTTTCCGCAGGGAAACAATCCCCACAAGTTTTTGTCGCTGCAATCTTGGCTACTTTCCCCGTGCATGAGATTCCTTTCGGACAGTCCTCAACTTGCCTTCTCTGAGGTTGGTTTGTACACATTGACTTTGCTGTAACTCAGCCAGGCGCGTAATATTGTGATTCTTCTGTGGCACCTGTTGCCCGTCACAATACTGTTGCTTCCACCTAAGTCCGAGCCACCGTTCAAAGCAGACCCTATGGCTGCTGGGCACCTCAGAACGTGGCTGAGGCTGACCTGGCATGCAGCCATATCCAAGCCTGAGTTTCGACCTTCCGTTACGCACCTTTCAAGTGGCGTTTGGTGTTTTGTTTTGTTTTTCCATTAGGTCTACGAGAGCAGCTTCATGCCTTTGGATGCCACCAGCCTCTACTCGGAGGACGACGGGCTTTGGCACACCAAGGCACAGGAGGATTGGCTGGAGCGAAAGATTGGAGCAATGTTTGCCCTTGCATGGAGCTTTCAACGCGAGATTCGGCAGGGAATGTGTTAGCGTGGACTTGGGCGGAGCAAGCCAGCGAGCAGGTTGAGCGCTTGATGTGTGAAACCTTTGAGCTTGCGACGTGTTTTATCAAGAGCTTTGTTGCCGCTTTGGCCCATTGGAGAGCCACTGCAAGCCGTCGCATGTGCATCTAAGGACCCCTGAACTTATGCATCGTCCACAGGGTTCCTCCAGGTTTGCTTCAAGGTGCAATTGATTAAGTAGCCACTTGTTTGCACACTCCCGTATATTCGAAAGGGCCCAAGTTCACACGCCACTGCAAGCGGGAGTGCTTGTAGCGTGGAGTGTTTGTAGCGGTTGTTTAAAGACAACAAAATGAAGCCAAGCATTGGCAGATTGTTGGTCACATTGATTTGGATTGAGACCAGCGCGGATTGGTGCCTGTTCTTGATAGGACTCCCACGTGTTTTCTCTATGTCTTGATCTTGAAACAGAGCTGTGCGCACCCCTTGTCAGCCAGGTATTCCCCTCTGAGACACCCTCCAGTCGCACAGATGCCGTGATGCTGGATAACTGGGTCAACAAAGCCCTGGCAAAGGTCGAGGACCATGTCACGGCCACCTGGCTTGGGACGATTGCTTCGGAGATCGCTTGACTGGAGTTGCAAAAGTTTTCCAGTGGGTCTAAAGAAGAAATGGCAGCCGTCAAAAGCTTCCGACAGCGCCAGGATATTCGAGCAACTTGCCACATTGCTTTTGGGGCAGCCTGTTGTACCACCGCCAGGAAGAAAAAAAACTTGTTCCCCTTCGGTTTTCCCAGGCCGATAGGGTTCCCTTGAAAACAGACAGCAATGCCACGATCAGCTCACCTTATGCGCACCACCTCACTTTGCGCAATATTCAAGGCAGACCGCCCAGGCATGTGGCGGTTGATCAAAAGTGGAACCATCAGGAAAACCACCAGGAAGGATACAACTTTCATCACATGGGAAAAGTTACCCATGGTCATTTTGGGGCCGAATGGAATATTGATAACCCCCACGTGTCAAAAGCAGGGCCCCTCCAAGTGGGATGGTTTCATGTTGGCTTCCTTGTCAATGTTTTCCGAGCAATACGGGCTTTGGGTGTTTCTCAGGATCCTATGCGATCTCCTCTGACTTTTCCCAGCGCCTGTCTGGTGGCAACCCAAAAGGTGAGATACCTGTCTTGGGGGGTCTCTTGTGAATTAATAAAGGAGGGGTATTTATTTTAGGATTTGTTTTCGTTTTGTTTTTGTTTTTTATTATTTTTTTTCGCTTTTGGCTTCTTGGCTTTTTGGCTTCTTGGCTTTTCGGCTTCTTGGCTTCTGGGCTTTTCGGCTTTTCGCATCCTTTGCATTCCCAGTTCCTCTCGGGCAGGTGGCGTTTTGGTTTTTGCGTTTATGCGGCGTTTTGGCTTTTGCACCCTTTCTTTGGTTTTTGGATTTGGCTTCCCGCATCATCAGCATCACCAGTTCCACCCTATTTGAATCATCACGTCTTCGAACATCATGGGGGGGAAGCCCCCCCCCCAACCCACCCGCTACTGTTTGGATTGTTTGCAGAGTAATTGCACCCCTATTTGAATCAACACTTCTTCAAACATCATGGGGGGGCCCCCCGCTACTTTTTACATTTCTTGCAGAGATTGAATTGCACCCCTATTTGAATCATCACTTTTTCGAGCGTCCGAGAAAATGCTTCAAAATACGATATTTTAGGTAATCTGTGTAATCCATGTATGTCTGTATGTATGCACTTCTTCGAACATCATAGGGGAAGCCACCCCCGCCAACCCTCCTGCTGCCTTTTGAATTCTATCGCACCCTTTCTTGAATCATTGCACCCCTACTTGAATCATCACTTCTTCCGACATCATGGGGGGGGCTGCCGCCCCCCACAACCCCCCCACTACTTTTTAGATTTCTTGCAGAGATTGAATTGCACCCCTAATTGAATCATCACTTCTGCGAACATCATGGGGGGGGCTGCCGCACCCCCCAACCCCCCCGCTATTTTTACTGATTTTTTACAGGGACTGAAATGCCCTCCTATTTGAATCATCATTTTTGGTGATGCTAGGGATGGGGCTCCCTTTTTTTTTCACCCTCCGAACTTGTTTTTTTAACCCTTCCTTTTTTTTCAACCCTCAAACCCTGCTTGGGAACTGTCGGCGGGAACCTTGTTTCTCCAACCCTGAGAAATCCTTTCTTTTCAACCCCTCACCTTGTTTTTGTTCACCCTTTGCCTTGTTTTTTTCACCCTCCGCCTTGTTTTTTCCACCCGCGAGCTTGCTTGTTTCACCCCGCAACCTTGTTTTTCTCACCCTAAACCTAAAACAACCTAAGCCTGCCCCGCACCCAACCCAACCCAAACCAACCCTAGGCCCGCCCTAAGCCAAACCTTGCGAACCCTCAGTATCTCTAAATCCATCTCAAACTAGCCAAACACGCCCAAACCCACCCCAAACCCACCCTACACAACACCCCCTAAACTGCAAGCAAGCCAGAAACGTCTTTTGTCCAACCCTAAACCCACCGCAAGCACCACAGACCTACCCGAAACCACCCTAAAGCATACATAACCCACCCCTAACCAATCCCAAACCGACCCTAAACCAACCCTAAACCAACAAGCCAGTCCTGCACCCACCCTAAACCCACCCTACACGAACTCTAAACCCACCCGAACCTTGATCCAACCATAATCCCACCCCACACCTTAAGCTTAGCCTAAGCCAACAATAAACCCACCCTAAACCCGCCTAAACCCCAATCCCACCCTAATCTAGCCTTAATGCAACCCTAAGCCCAACCTAAACCAACCTGAACAGACCCACCGACCCAAAACCAACCCTTAACCCGAAAACGACCCTAAGCCAATCCTAACCCAATCCTAAACCCACTCTAAACCAGCTTTAAGAAATCACGAACCACCCCGAAACCAACCTTAAACTCAAGCCCAGCGAAAACCAACCCTAAACCAACCTTGCACCCACCCTAAACTCACCCAAAAACAACCCTAAATCCCAACCCTAACAACGCTAAACCCACACTAAACTCAAAACCAACCTAGCCCGACACCAACCCTAACCAACCCTGAGCCACTCCAAAGCAACCTTAAACCAACCATAAGCCCACCCTGTACCAACCATGAACCCATCCTGATCCAACTCTAAGCGCACCCTGAGACTCTAAGCTGAGCTTGGCCCAACCCTAAATCCCTAGGCCAGCCGCAAAACCAATCCACATCCAAGCCTAAACCAACCCCAAACCCCGCCCTAAACCATCCCAGACCAACCCTGAACCAACCTATATCCACGAACAACATACCCTTAAACACCCTAAGCCCACCTGAAATCAAGCCACCCCAAATCAACCCTAAGCCACCCTTGAGCGACCCCAAGCCTCCCCTAGCGCAACCCCAACTCCACCCTAGACATAGACAAACCGTAAACCCGCCCTGAACCAACCCTACACCAACCCTAAGCCAACCCTACAGCCACCACAGACCTACTCCAGACCTAAACCAAACACAAACCCACCGAAATCCTGCTCTAAGTCTACCTAATCCCGAAGCCGACCCCAAACCCACCTCAAACAGATTCTAAGCCAACACTAAATCCACCCTAAATCCACCCTGAAGCCTTTCGACACACGCCCTAATCCCACCCTAAACTAACACCATGTAAATCCAACATTAATCCCAAGCCTGACCTCACCCTAAACCCAGTCTAACCCCTTTCTGAACCAACCCTAAATCCATCCTAAACCCGCTGTAGACCCATTCTCCAAGCCCAAAACCACCCTCATCCAACTTTAAACCCACCATATACCCAGCACAGACCTGCTCGAAACCAACCTTAAACTTAAACCGACCACAAACTTGCTCAACAAACCCTACCCCGCCTCTAAACCCTTAAAACCACCCTTCCCATCCGAAACCAACCCTAAACCCACCTACCACCCCCGCCCGAACCCACCCTAAACAAACCCTAAATCCAAAGCCGCTCCTAAACCAACCCAACCCTGGACCGTTGCTTAGTGCAGTTGCCGCAAACTTCGGCCACAGGGTTGGCAAAAAAGAAATGGAGGGTTAAAAGGAAGAGGTGGAGGGTCAGAAAGAAAGGGGGGAGGGTTAAAAAAGAAGGGGGGAGGGTTTAAAAAAACGGGGGGAGGGTTAAATAGAAAGGATGAAGGGTTGAAAAAACAGGGAAGGGTTGGAAAAAAAGGTTTGGAGGGTGAGAAAAAAGGGTTCCCCCTAGGGATGTTGGTCGGACATGCGGGGGATGTTGAAAACGATGCTGGGGATGTTGACGGGCTAGTGTAAAATGCGTCAATTTCGCGAGAAAATGCTGTAAAATACGACATTTTACTGGCCCGGACGAAAAACGTGGGAAAAAAAAAACAAAATAAATCCGCTTCCAGCCTCTGCCCTGCCCTGGCAAAAGGGATCAGCCTGGAGCGCCTCATTGGCATATTAAGCCCAAAAAAGTCCAGGGTGAGTTGCAAAACGTGTTGAAACTGAATGCTCTGGCGCCCTTAGCAGGCTGCTTGGCGTATGGAGCAAGCTCGCCCGGTATGTCAAGCTCACCGATAATGAAAGTTCCTTGCGGGTCTTCCTTGTTTCCGGTGTGTGAAGTATAGTAAGTTGCCCACATCCTTTACTGAAGTGACGGCGTGATTGATCACCGTGTTGCAATATCACTTAATAGCACTATGTTGACTGTGCCTGTGCACCCCCTAGCTTGTTTAGACTAGCTTTGAATTGACCGACATAATCCTAGAGTCTGTTCAGGCAGCGTGATCCAAACGGCCAGGTAGCTAGCTGCCATTGAGACCCTGCGTTTTATCCCGCCGCGCAAACCAAAGAAATGCAAAATCCACACCTTTGGATCTTTGGGTTCATGTGAACTTTTCTGAAGGTGGCAAGTCCTTGTCCGACAGTCTCAGAGTGAGTCTTTGACTGCCAGCTGGATAGGCTGGATGGATGGCAAGCTAGCAACCCAAGCAGGGCTGCCTTTTCCAGCCTGTTTGTGTTGAACAAAGCCCAAAAGGTGTATCCCTCGAGCAAAATTGTCGGGGCCTCCAGTCAGGTTTAAGTTAGAAACTTGGTAACTTTTTGGCATGGTCGCTTCGGGAAAATTACAGGAACCTCAGTGGAGCCTCAGCGACCCGGGGGTTGCAAACATGAAGGTGTCTTGACAAGGCAGATCCTGTGTTTGGGATTGGGAAGTTGCAAGAATTCACCCAGATATGAATAGACATTTCCCTTGGTGCATGATTTCCTCAGCCTTAGAATGCCATGTGCTTGGATGTTCCCACGTTTGTTTACTCCAGGTACAGACATTTTGGCGGTATGAATCCATTCATTGGATTTCCGACATCTTGAATGGTCCCCTATGGTGTTTCCTGGTTCAACCCCTATGGCGAACTTCTTGGGACCTGAAACGTGACCCTCGTGTTTATCGGGAGAGGAGGCAAAGTTCCAGGCAAATGAGCCATAGTCGAAACCGGGGTAAGTGAAGGTTAGTAAGGGAACGTCCCAGCCAGATTTAGGTGACGCCTCAGTTCTTTAGATTGGTTTGGGTACATTGTAATGCCAGGTGTTTGATTGGCGGCCCCAAGTTTTTGGACACGTCCTAGGCCACACAGCGGAGCCGCGATGACTTCTCCCAGACGGCGCGCCGAGAGGGATTGTTAGGGGCATAGGCAAAGTGGGGAGATGAAAGAGGGAGATGATTCCTTTTGAGCTGGTTTCAAGTGAACCACTTGACATGCAATCAAGCCCTTGCTGTCCGCACTGTTGCACAACGACGCTGGATCAGTCTTACTAGTCAATGTCCTGGTTGCCGTTGGCGCATAGCACTAGCATACGGCGTGTCTTGCAACTTGGCCCTTGCAATTGTCATCCTGCAACTGCTTGTAAACACCCAACGAGGACTCTTCACGGGTTTGACAAAGCAAGCCGTGGTAAGGTCCGAGTCAGCAAGCACCAGCAGGGCAAGTGGGGACACAGGAGACGGCATTGGTACCATATCCAAATAGGCAAAACGACACGGGGGGGTTGGCTGTGGACTTGTGGATGACCTTCACAAGTTCGAGTATTCCTTCTCATTTTTACCCACCCTCCCCTCAACCCAAAAGCGTTCTCAGCAAGGACAATGGCTTCTTTTTGAAACTATAGTTGTCCAACGGTCTTGCTCGATGCTCTCCTTTGATTGCAGCCCACCGCGTTTGCTGCAAATGCCGTTTCAGCGAGGTGCGCGAGCTGGTCCCCGTCCTGTCCGTGGCGCTGCATGAGACTGTCCGGCAGGTGATGCATCACTGCCCTGAGCGAGGCGCCAAATCTTCGCGCAGAAAAAGAGTCCTTAATTCCTCCCAGATGTTTGGAAGCGGTTTCACGGTGAACAAGAGGCAATCATTTTCAAGGGCTGCCACTTTTAGAATTATTTCCTCCACCTGAACGCAAGAGAGAAAGATGTGTTCCTTGAGCTGCACTGGGTGTACCCCTCGCAGACCTTTCGAATATCACCAGAACCTGCGAAGAAGGTCCAAAGAGGTCTAGTCCAAAACTTCACATACAACTGTTCAACCTGTGTTGGAATGAGAAATGTTCGCTTTCCAAACAGCAGCCACATGTGTTCACTAACTTCCCCTAAAGATGTGATGTGTCCTTTGGGCTTCCCTTGGAAGCCCTGTGTTTTGGACATCAGGTCATGCGCTGGAGAAGATCTGGCGAACGTATGTGGAGCTTTTCGAGCGGGTGCTCGACCAGATGCAGCAGTCCCTGCAGGTCCACAAGGTAACCTTGCTGCGATCGGTTGGGAATGACGGGATTATTACTCTGACCATGGACAACCTGCCTCTGAATGTGGTGGTCTCCAGATGGAATATAAAATCCCAAGCACGGGTTGTCCCTTTGATTTCCGTTCAAACCATCCCAGAACTGCTTTCACCAAGAAAGACACACCCACGTGTGGTTTCTCCAGGGACAAATTTACAGACATTGGATTCTAAAAAGCACTATGATGAGTACGGCAATCAATATTTTGCCTTGCCAGAGATTTACGCAGAAGCTCACATTATACACGCTCGCTCCGCATGAGTCTGTGAGGCGGATATGTCTTGGGTGATCCCCCCAACCACTCACAGTCGCTCGTGTTTGCATTCAGACCATTGTGGCCAGCATCTAGTGCCAGCTCTCTTCTTGAATTCGACAGTTGTCGGGTAGTTTGGCATCCAAAAACACCATGGTCCGGATTGGTTCCAGCCATGTGGGTCCAGCCGCTCCCTCTGCTCAGGATCGCACGGAGCAGGTTCAGCTGCACCTGAAGGATGCCCACCAGGAGTGCCCGGATGGCTTTGCGTTAAGCCAAACCTTTCAACCCTTTGTGGAAGCCTGGAACGACCTTGCAAGGGGGTCGAAAGGTTCAAGCTGTTCTTTCCTGAGCCTGAGGAGAGAGTTGTGGTCAAGTCGTGTCCGTTTGGAGCCAAATGTGAACGTGACAAATTTTCTCTGCCACCTTGGGGGGCCCCAAGAATAAGAAGGGTCATCATGTTGTCAACCCCGTCCACTCCGGAAAGAGCATAGTATGAGGGGTTCAAAGAGCCCTGAACGGCCAAAGGCAAGCAAGTCTTGCATGCCTCAAAAAGTCTTTGCTTTGGTGTCGGGGAGGAAGTGCGAGTCCTGAAGCGGGAGCACCCAGAGCAGATGCACAGCATCATCTCCGAGTTGGAGGTCCGGCTTTCATCTTCGCGGGATTCCAATCGGGAAACTGAGCCATTGGTTTCCTTTGGGTTTCGGTTCGTTCCCGAAAGCCTTGTGATTCCTGAGCAAGTCATTCAGTGGGATTCCTCGCATCGGCCTCTTTTTTCTCAGGCCAAGTTCCTTCAGCGCCAGAAGAACTTTGAGTCCGACCTCCAAGAGGCCCCGGAGAACTTTGAGTCCGCTTTCGGCTGATTCTGAGGCAGTGATATTCCATTTGTGCGATAAGAAACATGAAGTCAAGGCTTTGGGAAGGCGTTGTCACTCTGCAGAACGACTTGGACTGGGATGGCTACTGTCAGAAGACTTGCTGCAGGGATGATGGGGAAGGAGTGCAATGAGTATGTTCTCAGAAGCATTTATAAGTAAGTTGTTTGGTCACAGTTGGTCGGCCCACCAAGACACAGCTGCGCCTTGTTCTGAGCTTTTTGCGGAAGCGTTCTTTGCAAATTGGCTTATGTGTGTGTGTGTGCGGCATGCTTTGCTTGTGTTCCTTCCATGGGTGGGTGCTTTCTTGCTAGCTTGGTTGCTTGCTTGCTTGCTTGCCTGCCTGCCTGCCTGCCTGCCTGCTTGCTTGCTTGCTTGCTTACTTACTTGCGCGCTTGCGCGTTTGTTTTGTGTGGGTGTGTGTTCCTGTTTGCCTTGGTTGCTTTCTTGCATGCATGGTTTCTTGCCTGCTGTTTCGCGTTGCTTCGCCGGTTTGTTGCTGGAACGGGTAGCAGCCATGGGCGGAGGCGGAGGAAGAGAACATGGCGGCCAAGACAGCCATCCGGACGCAGCACCGAGAGTTGGAGAGTTGGTATCCAGGACCTGCGCAGGGATTGGTAGGTCCCATGCAGGATTGAGCCAACCCCTTGCTTAGACATGCTAAAGCCGCTTTTGGTTTAACAACCTCCTGTGCTTTCCCGTTTACAGCAGACCGAAAGTTGCTTGTGTACGCTAATTTTGCCCTGCCACCCTGCCATGCAACCCCTCTTGTAAGGCACCAGTTTTGTCCAATCCGATGCTTGCAGCTAGCTTGAGAGAATGTGCCTACCTCCTGGCGCAGGATTTCCGCACTACCAGGACTCATTTGTGAAAAATCTATTACCGCAGCAGGACCATGGTAGCTTGGCTTGCTCTGGCAATCTCAGCAAATGCATCCACATCTACATGTATGGTCATGTAGGTGACCCGAAAAAAAGACGACCATCCGCGGCGGCGTGTTTTTTTTTTGCTTTGCTTCATGACCCCCGGGCACCAGTCTCCAAGGCGGCATTTCCTCGGCGATGTTCAAGGAGCCGACAGCTGGACTTTCCCCGCGCCCGTCCAAGGGGCAGGTTTTGAAAGGCTCATGGGCCCCAAGAAATTTTCACCCAGGTGTCCCATCGGTTTTGCCAAAGTTCCACAAGTGTCACTTCAAGTGTCTCTTGCCAAAGAGATTTTTTTTTCACAGGTCACAGGTTTTCCATGGGTTGTGGAGGCTCAAGCGAGTTTCGGCTCTCCGGGACAGGAGTCGGCGGAAGACACCGCGCCCGAGGTGGCCATGGCGGAGGCACTCGGTTACAGTTGTTTTATGTCCAGGTTCTTGGGCAGAGCATGCTAGCTTCTGTTTTCGACTGCCTCCCTAGGTGCCACTCCAGTTAAAAAATCATAGTAGTTCAGGTGCAATGATAGAGTTGCTCGAGAATATCTGGGAAGCAAGTTTCTGGCGAATCCGCGCCGCGTCAGCCAACCCACCCAAAGTGCAGACTGTGGACAGTCCCACAGTTGTTTGTGTGAAATAGCGCCAAGAGAAGTCCCATTTGTGCTGATTGCCCATCATCAGGACTTCAAGCGTTTGCTCGCGGCACTGCCGCCAGAAAAGCGCAAGATCATAGGCGCTGGGCGTGACGGGCGGAAGAATGCGTACGCTTTGGGTTTATAGTTTTGTTGGTTATCTGTGATTGTTCTTCTGACAAGCAAACCCAGTTTCACGCAACTTAGTTTTTGGAAACAACGTGTTTTGGAGATCTGTATTGTGTGTGTGTGTGTGTTTGTGTTGCACCGTGCGCGAAAAATTGCGCATTGTACGAACCCCAGATGGCAACATTGGCAAGACCGGCTTGGTCATCGGTTGCTGCGCTCCATTGCGCTCTCCCAAAACCTGTTCTCCAATAACTTTGCCGTTGCCCGGTGCTGTGTAGTCATTACATGGACGTGGTTCAGGTCGCTTCTCTTGTGCAAGGCATCCAGAACCCCCAGGTCGATTTGCATGTCGCGATCTCGTCGAGGCACAAGCGACATCTATTGAGTCGACTTCCACCTGGGAAGCTGACATTGCGTTTCGCAACGAAATACGCAGCCCCACAATTTGACGGGAGCTGTGTGCAGAAGCTTCACCCCGTCAGAAAAAAAAAAGGCTTTACAAAGCTTGCCTTCATTCACACTCGATCGTGAAAATTGGTTGCCTTTTCAGAGGCTGCTCCCTTTTGGCCTAGGGGACTTGGCTTTCAGGCAAAGACCTCATGGGCCTCATTGATGGCGACGAAGTCGAGCGCATGCAGAAGGATGACACCCCCTTGAACCTGGAGGACTTCGTTCGGGTGCCGAATCTCGGGCGGCGAATTTCGAGTTTCAATGCCGGTTCTGGAGGTCTGAGCGATTTTTCTGCTCCTTGACCACTAGTCCCTTTCATGGGCAACGTCCTCGTGTTTCATTTACCGCCAAAGAATATCGAGCCGATGCCTGAGGGACTTGCAGCACGAGAGATTTGACGTCGAGTGTGAGTGCCCTTGCAGTGCCCCACTAGAAACTCCCCATTGTGAGAAACCCAGCTGGGTAGTATGTTTCCAGGGCTTGATCTCCCATGGTTGCTCCATCGCTCTTTTCGTTGAAGCCAGCCCTTTCCCCCTGGTGTTCACTGCCCTACGAAGCTCCATCCATTTCTCCGATGGGAAGCTAGGAGCAGCAACAAGAGATCGAAGAGATCGAGAAGCTGCAGGGGGAGCTGCAGGTCCAGGAGGCCACATGGATCCGAGTTGCCCACCCCCCAAATGGCCGGGATCCGCTGGCGCCGAAGCCCTGGAATGATTTGCGATTCCCCTGATACCCACGAACTTCGTCCATCATGTCTTGGATGGTCCAGGATTTCGTCCACGGTAGGGAATCCCCCTCCCCCCCTGCTTTGGATGGCTTTTAAAGAAAGATTGTCTGGATAGGTGCCGTTTAGATTGAGAAATTTATTTTCGACAAGAAGTTCTGTTGATTATTCACATCGTTTGGGAGACTCTCCTAAGGTGGTTCCGTTGGCGATGGCTTTTGGAGCATAAACCTCGCAAAAGCAAAAAGACAGTTCAGTTCGAAAGAGTAGAACTTGACAAGAATATTATATAGAACTCATAAGGAAAGAATTCAGAGTGGATAAAATTGTCCAACCGTTGCTTCCTGCTGGTGATGCAGGAGGCTTGCAATCCAGGATGCGTTTGCCAAAACAGGCAAACCACATGCTTCAGTTGAACTTCATGCCAGCAATTCCTGTTCATGCAAAAGGCTACCGTGCGTTTACTCGTAAGTGGCTTTGACATAGCTCCCAGCACCATGTCTATCAGAAAACACAGTAACATACAGTGTGGTTGCCATTTGTCTATCAAAGAATACATCCCTACCAATGGCTGCTCTTTTTTACATGGGGTCATTCATGCCCCTTTCAACTCTGTGTTCCCATCCTGAGTGGCAGGCCCGATTTCCTGGTGCAATCGCCTAGTGCTTGCCGGAAGAGGGCGTGCAGGCAAAACAAAGCATCAAAACCAGGTTGGATTGGCATTCTTGTTTACGCAACGTGGGCAAGCGACCTACTACCTCATCATGAAACATCCTTGTATGGTTCCTTACTTCTATTTGGTGAACTTTTGTGATGCATTCAGGGTCAATCAAGCAAGCATCAAAGCTGCCGGAAGATCTAGAAACGACTTTCAGGTTGGGCAACACCATGTCCGCTTGCAGGCGCTTCTTTGTGTGTTTGTGTGTGTGTGTGTGTGTGTGTTTGTGTGTGTGTGTGTGTTTGTTTGTGTGTGTGTGTGTGCGTGTGGCGTTGTTGTCTCTGTATATTTGACGTGTGTTTGCATGCTCAGCGCTATGCGATGACTCTGCGTACCTGTTTGCCTGTTTGCGTGTGCGCATATGCTGGAGCGACGATAATTAATGGCAGTATGCACATTGAAACAATCAGCAGCAAATGCCCTGGTCCAGATCTAAACGCCCACAGCCCGCAAACAACAAGACGAGAGTGTGAGTGTCCTTAGGAGTACATGAAGGAGCTCAAGATGGAGATTGCAAGGCAGGAGATGTCTTCCGAGGGCAGATCTTTGTGTCCTTGTGGACGAAATTGTTATGCAAACAGTAAGGGGTTTTCCGGGTTTTGGGGGTTTTGAGTGTTTGAGGGTTGTGGGGTTTAGGGTGTTGACGTCTTCAGTTCCCCGCACAGTGTGTCAACACTAAGGGGTTCTTACGGTAAGGGTTTAAGGTTGATGTAAGAGGGCTGTCAAAAGTTTCGCGGGGCTGCCACTTAGTCCCTTCAGCACTTGACAGCTTCGTGGCTATCGGGGGCTATCGAGTTTGCTCAACTGAGCATCGGTTCATGGCCCGGACAGCGTGCGTGGATTGACCTTGAACGACCCCGGGCAGTGGTATCAGTTGGAATTCCGCCTGAGCGATACGCGAATGCTTCAAAATTGGCATCACGGCCTATGTTTGCCAATTGTCCTCAATGGCTCCCAGAGGAGTCATCAGAGGCGGATTGTCGCAAGTTGTTTGACAGATCCTGGCCAGATGGATCCAACTGTTTCAACCGACTTTGGCGCAAGATAGCTTGCCGCAGCATTGACTTTCTTCGTGGTCGAAAAACTTGAAATATGGTGAATATTAGTTGCATAATGCGGTGCATTGTTTATGCATGCGTAAAGCGTTTCATTGGAGTTGGGGCTCAGCATCGAAATCTGTCCGGTGGTTCATTTCAGAAGAAGTGATTGCTGTGAGCAAAGGGACCCAGTTCAAATACAGGCAGCCTTCCTTCTTTGTCAGTTCTTTCGCGCTGAGAAAGGGTATCCAAAAACGGGCCCTTGCCCTTTTCTGTTGCCCCCACTGGACAAGTCAGAGGTGTCCTGCAATTCCATTTTGGAAGGATCAAGCATTGCAATGTCCATTCACAAGATTGTTTTTGGCCTAAATGGCGCAGGTTTTTCTTTCTGGTGCTCGGTAGGGAATGGCCTTCCGGGTGGTGGGAATGAACTTGAAGGGGATTCCCTGAAAGGAAACCATAGGAAATGGATTGGTTTTTGTCGGTTCCAATTCTCATTCCCTCATCGAACCAGCAGGTTTGCTTGTGTCTGTGGCTGGAACGGCATCGCAGGTTGGAGGCTGAGAGCCTTCTGCATGAAGAGGGCTTCACGGACCTCGACTTTGGCGAGGCCACACGTGCTGCTCGAGACGGGGTCATGTCACTCGTGGCCCACATGGCTGGTACGCACGCCCCCCTTTCAATCAATCTGGGGGTTCTTTTGGGTTAGAGGTATAACACCAAAGGTGACAAACGGACCGGAGTGTTGTCACATTAGTTCATTGAATGTGATTTGCCCCAGTAAGCAAGAATTTTGGGGGGTCCAGTATTTTGAGGGCACGCTGGAGATCTTGTTTTGGGGTACCGTTATTGTCTGGGTCCATGTTGAGCATGAAGAAATCTCTTCGAGCGGCTCGCGTTTGCTTTGGGCTCTGGCGTTTGCAGAGAGCTTGGGCCATGGCCATCTGCAAATGTCCGAGAGAAAACTTTTTGGATTCTTGCTCAGTTCCCATGTGAGGGCACAAGGAGTATTGACCCAGGCCTGTAAGGTGGTAATTGTTGCTACTTCCCCAAATATTGTGAGTGCACCCAAAAAAGTTTGATCCGAAAGGTGTAAAAAGTCCACGGAGTTAACATGGGCAAAAAGGCAAGATGCTCCATGTACGAGTGGCTGTGACTGACCCTTGCTTGGAGTGTCCCGCAGAACCACCTGATCCTGTCGCCTCAGGTAACCACAAAACCACTTTCGCAGATCCAAGCACTCAAATGTTTTGAGGAACCCTGGTTTTTCCAAGGTGTCAAATCAGGAGACAGAGGATCTGGGATAGCAAATATGAGATGTATTTTCTCTTGCTGGTTCTCAGTGGGGAATAAAGGAATGACTTGTTCCCCATGAATCATCCCTTCTGGTTTCCTTGCACATTCTAGGTTCATTCCCAAATTCTTGCGACTGACTCCAAGTTCTCCAGTTTGATTTTTCATCCCAGGTGTGCGGTGATGACCCCCTGTTTTCCCGCGGAGTTTCCCTCAAAAGTCGGGCCAAACATGGGGCGCCCGGTTTCCCCTGCGCGAGGCAGGCCAGCGGCCGGGGGACCGCCACCCGGCTGGTGGTTTGGTTTCGGCCATGTGGTTCGTATGGGAGATGGAAACCCCATGTGTGGCTGTGCCGGTCAAAGCTTGAGGGGAGGGCCCGGCTATTTCCCAGAGCTGGCATAAAGAAGTCCCTTGGAACCGTGCTCCGAATTGAAAGCGAATTGCCGTCGTGCTTTTCGAGCCCGCCCAATTAGCACAACGGTCTTCCTTCAAAACAAGCAACATCCTCCCAGATGCCCGGAACACGGCCCTGGGAAACCAACTTGAGAGCTGCATCCTGCCTGCAAGCTAAGTACTGGATGCACCGGAGGCAGTGATGGCAGCTTGGCGGGACGTCAGGGGATTTTCTCGACTCTTCATGGATCTTATGAAGCAGTAGGCCAGTTGAGGCCGAGAAGAATGGAGGTGACATTGTCTAAAGTTCTCAGGGTAACAAATGAAATGACCACTGGATTGGCTGGTCATTTCTATAAATACGGCAAAGGCTCCTGGTGACCTCGCTGTTGATGCCTTAGATCAAGCAGCCCTTGTTTGGAATCCAGCTCATGTGTGTGCGTGTGTGTGTGTGTGTGTGTGTGTGTGTGTGTGTGTGTGTGTGTGTGTGTGTGTGTGTGTGTGTGTGTGTGTGTGTGTGTGTGTGTGTGTCAGCGTGTTTGGTGACTGAGGAAGCGGAAAGAAGCAATAGTGAGGCAAGCTCGGATGCAGAAGAGAAAAGTCAAAAACAACAACATCTTTGACGATGGCATGCTTAGTCCCTGAAGCAGTTCAAGCTTTTCTGCAGCCATGACAAGACACGAGGTGCACCCTACTGTGAAATGTGTAGATGCGTGTGCATGTTGATCTGATCTTTGATTTCTGGCTGTTCACTATACTTGACTCAATATTCCTGTTTCATGTTTCAGTGCATAACATTTAGCCCCTTCAAGGGCTTCTTCAAAATCCCAACATGAAAAACGGCATAGTATCCCAATAAGTGTTGGAAAACTTTTGCTTTGAAGCCAAAACAAAAGGAGCAAAAGAAAAGCGAATATTGCGCTAGAGATATAAAATCAATGATATATCTATTGAATTAGATTATAAATCGATTAATTTTAAGATTATTTATATAATATATTTGTATAATATATATATATATGTTAAAGTTGGATTGATAGTGTAAACACTTGATGAGTTGTGAAAGATAGTATGGGTTTTGTTGTATTCGGGCATAAATAGTGTTTTTAATATATATAGGCTTAAGGTTTTGATTATGTAAAGGTGTAAGGGAATATATAAGGGTGGATAGATTTTAATATTTTATTTTGGATTGATATATTTTTATAGTAAGCTAAATAGTTATGTTTTAGTTGTTCGAGGTGATATAAAAGTTGTTATTAATTTTATTTGTTGGTTTTAGTTTATATATCGATGTTTTTAGTATATTGAATATTTATTTAAATTATATATATGGTTTGTTAATTGTTAGATATATTTATAATACTATATATTCGTAAAAATCCGGTGTGTTAAAAATAACAATTATTATATGAATAGTATGGAATTTTGTTTTACCTTTGCGAGGTATTTGTTGTAGATCTTTGTTTTGGTTTATATAGAATAGGTATTGTTATTCGAGGATAAAGGTAATGTGATCCGGATGGTTTGGTATTGTTTGTTTATTAATTGTGTTGTGAGTGATGAGGTTATATGTATGTTGTATCGAAATATTTTTTTAGATATTATTTGATATATAGGTGGTAAATATTTGATGTTGGCCATGCCTATTAAGAACAATTTGTAATGGTGTAATGTGCTTGTGATTTGTGTTTTTAGGCAAGTTGATTAAGATTTATATAAATGTTGTAAGACTAAATATACCCTCCCGTGTTTTAATTTTATTTTATATAGATTTCGAACAATCCATTATTGCCCATATATTTGAAGACTTGATGTTTTAATAGTTTATTTTGTGTTTGAACCCATATTTTGTTTATGTGGATTTATATATGGATTACGTTATAGCTACGATTGAAAAAAATTGATATAACCATGGGATGCCCATTTAGCGATGTGCTTTGCATCCAATTACATTGTAGTTATGATGAATGTGTGTAAGTGTTGTGTGCGATATATCCCTATAGAGATGTAGTTTAACAGTATTATAATCGTCTTAAATGGGGAGTTATAATATAGTCAATTTTTGGGCTTCTGGCCCAGCCGTGAATATATCTCAGCTCTCCATTTGTGGTCCATGCTGTAAAATCCTTAAATGTCATGGCGATGTATATCATGTTGGATTTGGGTTAGATAGTGTCTAGATGCATTCCATTTAATGTATGTAGGGGCTATTTGCCGGTAATGTTTTCCTTGATGTAGCCCGAAGATGTGAAATTCATCGCGTTCTATGTCCTTACTATTGTGATCTCTGTGACCGGGTTGTTATGGTTATATTGTACTTTTAATATACAGGGAAGAATCTTACCAAATGTAAAATGACTATGATAGATATCAAAGATATTATTTGAAATATACATGGAATCTTATGCAGTAAAAAATTGTACCTGAGGATGTAAAAGAGGTGGTTAAAGTCATAAAGACAAAGATGAACCCAACGTTGTATATCTAAACCAGAAAGGCTGTATTATCTCTAGGGCAGGTCTATGGCTGTATCTAATTAAAACATGTGTGCCGGCTGTTTAGTTATGAAAGATATACGTGTGTCAACTATACAATTGCTGTTTAATATACTGTGCAACTGTGTGAAATTGGTGTTGTGTGACCTTACAAGCTAACGTTGTACAGGTGTTTGTTGAGAGTGTCGCAGCTGACAAATTTTGTCAGCAAGTTTGCTGGGTTGTCTTTAGACCTTATTTTGTGTATTGAAATGGTTTTATTTTTGACAAGTTGTTGTATGAAGAGGTATCGTAGCTCGATGTGTTTTGTTTTCTTTAATATACCTTCTTTCGTTGTTATTGATTTTGCTGTATTGCTGTTTATATGTATCTTGGTGTTGATACATATTTCAAATCTTTCCTTTATGAAGTTGTTGATATAGAGATTTTCCTGTGATGCTGTACCGATTGCATACAGTTCTGATTCTGCTGATGAAAGTGATATTGTGGCTTGTGTTCTGCTGCCATAATTTATTGTTGCTCCAAAGAAGTACGCTACAAATCCTGTTATGCTCTTTCTAGTTGTTTCACATGCCTAATTGGCATCTTCGTTTATCCTGTGTTTGTATCTTTGGTCGTAAGTTGTATCGTATGTACCTTGTGTTCGTGAGGTACCTGATCATGTGCTTGAGCTTCTTGTTGTTAAATTGTGTTGGTGTTTGTAATGACCTTACTAGCTTTTTTGTTCCATAGCTGATGTTTGGTCGTGTGTATACTAGCCATTGTATCCTGCCAACAAGCCGCCTGTATTGTTTGTGTTGTTCGTGGTCAAGTGGTGTTTGTACCTTTCATGTGTGACACCCCTGGTGATAGTGTTGGGTTGCATATAATCATCCATAACTCTTCCAGGATGATGTTAATACAGTTATTGTTTAAATTGATGTCGATATGATCATTTCTGTGTGAGATGTTCCTGTCAAGAAAATGGATTATTGATCCAATTATTAGGTCGCCGGTGTATCTAAGCAGAATTTATTTTTGTATTTTGCTAAACAGTGTGTTAATAATGTTTTGTACTCCTATAAATCGGAGATCGTCTATATAGATCATAATGTAGACCAAGCAATCCTTTGACCTATAGACATTGATTTCTGTTATGCATCTCAATAATTCGAATATAACTGTGAAAATGTGTGTTATGTGGTCTTGTTGTTGTTTTGATCATGATTTTAGACCATAGATTAATTTATTTAGCCGCCATATTATATGTCTATTCTCTTCATTATAGAACTCGTGTGGTGGTCTCATTACTAGATTGTGAATAAAGGCTGCTGCATATAGAAATACAACATTTCCACACCAGTGCCATTGAAAGAAGCACCCTCAAAATGTAAAACAATAATGCACTTGCGAAAAGTAGGTCATAATCTGTAGCGGGTTCTATATAGCCTTTTGTTACTATGCGTGCTCGTACTTTATTGTGTTTTGGTTTTAAAACCCATCTTGATTCAATGATATTCGCTTGTTGTTTTGGTGTTATTGTGTTACTATTAATCTCTATGAAGATTGATTATTCCTTCATTTGTTACGTTTCCTTCTTCATGCCTTGTATTACCAGTTATGGGTCCAGGTCTTCTATATCATGTATAATCGGCTCTAGTAAGATGTTTTCATTTTCGATTTCTTATATGTCTATATTAGAGGTTATCTCCATTTGTTTATCATCCTTTGTTGTGAACTTGATGGCATTGATTCTCCTCTTCCTTTTTGGTTATTCTGTTATTGTAGGTCGCTCAAGTGTTTGTCTCTCTGTTTTGGTGCGTTGTTGCTTGCCGGTGCTACCTTCTGCTATTGTATTATTCCTTTCTTTTGTTTGTGATGTGTGCGGTGGTGCTGGCAATGATGGTCATTTCTAATATGCCGGTGGTGTAGCCATAAGTGATGTTGGCTCTGCTGTCCTTTTCTGTTTTGGCTATTGTTCGCTCGACTGTGCTATGTTTTATCTCTTGTTTTCTGCTGCTGTGCTTGTTGCTACATCCTTCTGTTATGTAATTTTGCTTGCTGATGGCATTGATACTGGTAGTGTGAGAGTCGGTGTAAGCAGTGCTAATGTTAATGTCTTCCATGGACCTATGTATATACAGTCCAATAGTTATTAATCGTATTTGTGAGGCATTGTTTGCCTTCTGATTATCCTTGCTCTGACAATCTTACTGTAAATCCCGATAAGGGATTCGCCTATAGTTATATCCTTGCCAAGCCAGATCCCGTTGTAGAATCTTGGTTCTAGTTTTGCAAATTATTTTATTGTTGGTAGCATATATTACACTATCTCACCAAACTCGCACAATGGTGTATGTTATTCTCTGTTCCATCTATTAAAGTAGCTTGTGCATCCATTGTGCAAAGCGTACCTATTCACAATGTATGCATTATATCGGACGATCTAAGGCATGAGTTAATGTTTCATTGCAATGTGTCTATTGTAGTTTTGTTTAATCTGTGCCTTGAACGTTCTGATTTGTAGAAACAATGTTTTATATGCTCGTTCTACTCCTCCTTGTGGTTATGAATTGTCTACTCTTGAGTTCCGGGTTATGATGTTACCAATTTTGCTTGCTACTGTAGTAATAAGTGCTGTCAGGAAATCTTCCTGATCTGATTGTAGTATTGTGTGTATGTTGTTCTTCCATATTCAATGAGGAAATGTTATAGCTATGTGATTGTATAGTCGAAAAGCATCCTCTTGTCGGTCAATTGTATTGCCATAATCATCCCTGATTAGATGTTAATTGCTATGAGGATTGGATGTACCTTATTGTCATCGAAGCCTTTGATGTAGCCGAAGTCGAGCTGTATAATTGGAAGCTTGCTGTGCTGTTTTGGATGGTTGTTTTGTCTGCCTCTTGCTTATATGCATATCGAACACCAATTCCTATAAGAGAAGTGTATAATATTGTGCTGCAAAATCTCCTATGGTGTAGGTTGTTTCGGTGCTTGTATTGCTTTTGCTCTTGTGCCTTGTTGTTGTTCTTCATCATCTGACTCGAGCCGTATTAGGAACTCCTAATGTTCCTCAAAGTTTGTCCAGCTTGTCCCAGGCTTGTTTGATGTCTTTGCTGGCTGGGTTATCCATTCATCTTCTATCAACCTTGTGTATTGTCTTTCTCTTCCAACTAGTTATACTTTAGTCTGTCTCCAAAATATGAATCGTTTGATGTCTAGCCCGTCGTATGTCTGCTTTGGTATGTAAAACGCTGTTCTAGGCTTAACATATACTCTCTTCCAATATGGGCCTTCTCTATACCAGTAATCTCCTCCATGATATGTTTCTGAAGGATATGGAAATCCTTGTCCAGCTGGGCCTTTAGTGGTGTGTGGCGCAGATATGTCCTAAAATGATGGTGGTGGTGTTTTCTCCCTCAGCCGTGTGCACGGTCTCATTTATGGTATCATTTTCTATGGTGCACTTTTTGGCTGTGTCTTTGTTGTAAGCTATTGTTATATTGCCTCTAGTAATATTATGCCTTTTTTGATCCTGAATGTTATTTCTCCTTTCTATATTTGTGGTTGTGCTCTGTTTGGCACTTCTATGGTTTGATATTCGTCTTCAAACGTGTTCGTTGTACCATCCTTGAATCTAATGGTTGTTTTCCTGTAATCCTCCAATTGTTGTGTTGGGACTGGACATTATATTCTCGAAGGTGTGAAGGGTTTTTTTTCTGTGTTGCCTGTGTACTCTTACAAGTTCACCTTGTGTGTTGAACTGCCAGAAGTCTCCTATATAACCTGTGTTTGCAGGACCTTGCGGTGTTAATATTGTGGTCGGTGTTATCATGCCGATCTATCCTTAGTCCGTGTTATATATCTGTAGCTTTATTCCTTTTGGCAATACTATGATTTCTATTTATACGAAGAACAGGTTATTTTTAATCTCCAGTATGCTATTAAATCCTTTAATATAATGTAGCTTTAGATTATCATCCAATATAAGTTAGAAATCTTATTCCACCAATCTTATAATTAAAAAAATCGTTTATTTAACCTCACAAATATAAAATGGTATGATAAGTTGTTATTCGCTTGGCTTATTTTACAAACCCATCTATACCCATAAAGCTCGATGTGCTAGTTGATCACTATTCTGAATTGTGGTCCTGATTTATGTTCAAGTTGGTGTAGTGGAAAGTGTGATGCAAACCATGGTTATTGTTATTTCTTGTAATCCTGAGATAAATATTGTTAATAAATCCGTGATTTTTTTGGTGGTTATAATAATGCTAGTTGTTGCATATGTATCTGATCCTTGGTGGTACCAATTGTTATCATAATGTGACTGACTATACTAATCATCTGTCTAGTCATTAGTGTCGAAATTGCTAATATCATAGTTATAGATGGCCACTTTGCATTGTTTAGCTATGTGTCCTCCTAGTTGTTCATATCTGTAACAAACATTTGTTGCTTGCTTTCCGTTTAATCCTTTTCCTCCTTATTAGTTACTATAGTATCCTTTTCCTTTTCCTTTGATGTTATTATATCTTTTTTTTTGGAATATCTTTATTATCCTTTGAAAGGATTTCCTTATCCATCCGGTTGTTAACTATATTTACCTTTTCCTCCTTTGTGGTTGTTATAACCGAAGTTGTTACCGTAACCGCCGTAATCTTTGTTTTTGTTTTGTTTTCCTTTGCCTTTGCGCTTGCCCTTCTTTCCTTTTCCTTTGTTGTACCATGATGCTCCTATATCCATTAGTGCCGGTCCTTAATTGTTGTTGTTGCTTAATGTAATTAACTATAGTCTAGTGAATGACACTGTTGTTCTATAATACTCAATCACCATCGATCTAATTTATGCATATGTTATAATGTTTCCTGTTTATAGCTAGAAATACTATTATGGTGATCCTTTTATTTTATTCAATAGTATTACGATTTTAATTGCATCTAGTAATAGTATATTGTTGTTTTGTTCGCACCTTAAGAGTTAGAATTCCTATGTTGTAAAGCTCTCTTCGAACTTCTATTCATCGAGTTGTAGTTTGGGCAGTTTTGTAAGGTATCCAATGTTCCTTGTTTCAAGAAGTATGGAATACTTTACATATACAAGCCGCCATTTTTCGAATCCATTGCTTTGTATGTTTTGTCTATAAATTGTAGATACTAATCCATCGCACGTGCTCACTAGGATATAATGTAAGTTATTGTTCAGTTATATCTATTGCTCTGTAACTTGTTGTGAAGGTGCTATATTCTCAAGTTGGCTATTTGTAACTGATCCTGTTAATTGTTCTAACTGTCTAAGCAGTCTGTTGTAGTCTGGATCTTATAGTCCTAGGTATGCTATCATTTTGTACTTCCATTCGTCGAAAGTGTTGTATTCGCCATTGAAACGTAATAAAAATATCTTATATTCGGATTCTTTCCAGCTATTGCTGCTATAGTTCCTGATCTTAATGTTATTGTTTCATAATATTCATTACTATATATCTCAACCTATGAGTGCGTATTAGAGCTCATCCTGGATTATATAATAGGATCGTGTACCAAGAATCACTACTCCGCTACCATCTTAAAATTGGATTAAGAGTGTAAACACCTAATAACCTATATATGACAACACAACACTTATTATACTCGGGCACAAGCAGTGTCTCTAATATATATAGACTCAAGGTCTTAATTATATAAAAGTGCAAAAAAATGTATAAAGGTGGATATATCTTAACAATATAATATATATATATATATGGTCTCGTGTTCCGTGTTACTACCCCCCGCCCCCCATATGGTATAGGTCCCCCAAGACCCCCCCCCCCGCCCCCCCGGCCCGAGACCCCAAGCCCCCGGATCCTACCACTACGGTCCCACCCCCATCCCGACCCCCTAAACTCGCACCCCGACACCCCGCACCCCCACCCCAAAACAAGCCAACCCACAACCAACCATAAACCAACCATAAACCAACCCTAAACTAACCCTAAACGAACCCTAAATACCCCCTAAACCAAACCCTAAACCGTAGACCTCTAAACCTAAACCAACCCTAAATCAACATAAACCAACCGTAAACTAACCCTAAACCAACCCTGAACTAACCCCAAATGCACCCTAAACCAATCCCTAAACAATAAACCCTAAACCTAAGCCAACCCTAAACCAACCCTAAACTAACCCTAAACCAACCCTAAATACACCCTAAACCTAAACCGTAAACCTAAACCAACCCTAAACCAACCCTAAATCAACATAAACCAACCCTAAACCAACCCTACACTAACCCCAAATACACCCTAAATATACCCTAAACCAATTCTAAACCAACCCTAAACCACCACCCAACCACAGGACCACAACCACAGGGGAGGGGGGGGGAGTACTTGTCTGACCCATGACCATTGGTGGGGGGGAGAGGGGGCTGGCAACGCTATACCATATATATGGTAGAGGTCTAGCATCCTCTTCCCTCCTCCGTCATGGTTATGGTAGCTTTAAATAGGTCCTTACCCCCTCTTCCTTTTGTATTAGGTTTCTAAATTATGCTTATTTTGCAAAAAGCCTTTTTCCCCCTATGGGCTCGTTAATGCGTTCCGGTTAGGGCTAAGGCTTCGAGAGTCGTACCCCGGTATGCGAGCGGTCATGCTCTCCCCTCCCTTAAATGAGAGGGGGGGGGTAGTCGCTCGGCGATTAGAACCATATATATATATATATATATATATAAGAATAGATAATTTTACATAGAATATAGGTATAATTATTATTACTATTTTATCATGTTTATAATGTTTTTTATTTTATCTATTTATTTATATAATTCTATAATAAGAGTTGAATTACTGAACTTGTTTGATATTAATAGATTTAATTTCATAATTTATATAAAAAGGAAAATGGGAAAAAGAACAGAACTCAAAAATGGTTATAAAATGTTTATAGAAATATCTATTTTGGATATGGAAATATATGATAATTGTGGAATAAAATATGTTGTGATTTGGATTTATAATATATATTTTATAAATAATAAATAGAAATTAATAATATATTTGATTTAAAAAATAAGAAAAAATATATATATATATATTAATTAATATTTTAGTAAAAAAAATAAATTTTAAATTAAGAAAAATGAGTTTTATACATTCTATTTAATATATTATTTATTCTAGTTAAATTTAATTATATTTAAAAAATAATTATTAATTTGTTATATGTGTTTAAAAAAATCTAATATTTTAGAGGAATGTTCGAATTCTTTCTATATAACAAAAATAATTAGATATAAAAAAAAAAAAAATGTATATAAAAAAAAATATTATTAACCTCTTAAAATAAAAATAATGTATATTGTTTTATACAAAAAAAAAGAAACAAAAAAAAAAACAAGATATATATATATATATATATATTTCAATTAAAATTGTAAATATATATTTAAAATATATATATATATATATATATTATTATTGATTTTAGTATTTTTTTCGAGTAGTATTTTTAGGAATTCTTTTTATTGGAAGACACCAGCCTGGCCAAAGATTGCCAAGCCGGGCTGAAACCCGTCTCCGAATGTCACATTGAAAAAACACCTCACAACATACCTATCACCCAGTCGCTGAAAATGAAGTGGCATTGGCAAAAGGAAAGCAGCAAAAGGAAATGTGCGGTCCGGAAGTCTCACTTCCCTTTCAATCTCCCGTGCAATCTTGCAGGCGTGGCGGTCTGTTCACTGGCTCCCTGGGGCTTGGGGAGAATGAAGGTCACTGCTTGTTTCCGGAAGTCCTCAAACGTGAGCTCCTGCGGCTGGAGCAACGCTCATCCAGACTTTGATAAAATGCGGAGCTGTGAAGCTCGAGGCAAAATCAACTCCTTGTATTAATTGCGGATCTACCCACAACCCATGCAGAAAAAAATCACGGATGGCTATCCGCATGGCCAAGAGGGAAGCGCGTCCTTGGAGGCCAACTCCGCAAGGCCAGGTGAGTTCGCCAAGACCTGAGGCGTCCGAAACCGTCCCTTGCCTCCCCAAGCATGCAGAAAGTGCGGCATCAACCGGACGGCAGAGGATCTTTTTCACTGTCCCAGTTGCAAGAATCGGCCATGGGGCGTGGGCTTCCGTATTCATCACGCCATTTGTCCCGCCCCAATCCACTTTTCAAGCGCTTTATCCGCCATCTGCACTTTGAACCTACATGTACGCCGAAACCGACAGATTGAAAAGTGAAAGATCATCAAAAGGATGACTTTCTGAGGCACGGTCGAAACTACTTACTTACGACTGTTTCGCTCCTTAGTTTTTGAGTCCCCCTAGAGTTGTCCAGTGCTTTGTGCGTTCGAATAATTCTCAACTTACAAGTATTACGGAAACACTGCATAAAGGGCAAAAAATGAGAGAAAAGAAGCCTGGGCCTGAGGGAGCAAGGGAAGAGAGGAAGGGAGGAAGGGAGGAAGGGGGAGGGAGGAAGGGAGGAAAGCACTGCCAGAGCAGAAACTGTGGGCCATACCTTTAAAAAAACAGTTAGCATATAACCCATAGAGCCAGCATTACCAGCATGACCAGGCGCAACCAGCGTAACACAAGCAGCATCAGCTGCTGTGAAGACTTACAACAGAAGAACAAGAAGAGGGCCCCGGCCTCAACGGTGCTTCGCGCGTTTCTGCCTGGACATTGAGTACATAGCTGGATTTACGTCCACCAACCCTTTTTGGGCCGGGTCTGCCCAAAGCCAAATACCTCAATGCAACATTTTGGCCATGGGGACAAATATTGCTGGTCCTAACCCTCACTCTTCAATACAGGAACAGATCACCGATCGACAAAGTATGGATCGGCCCAAGTTCAAGGGTTCAACTGCATCTGCTTCGTGCCAAGCGGCATTTCGGTACTCACGGCCAATGGCCATGACCTTCTTCTCATCCTGCCAGAGGACAAAGCAAGTGGCTCACGTTGAGGACATCAGGGCTCAAGTGCCGGTTTTTGCCTAGCTTCCAACTCTGATCTAGCCATTTCCACCGCTTGTTGTGCAGGGGACACCACTTGTATAGTGGGTGGCAATTTCACGGAAAACTGTAACAAATAGAAAGAAGCGGTTTGCAAATAGATTCAAGGGAAACACGAGCACTACACTGGCGCCGACTCTCTCGCCTTGGCCGCAGAGAGCCAAAGGGCGATCTTGCTGGCGCGGCTCCTGTGTGGCCGAAACTCCTACAAGTCCTGGTGGCGCCACTAGGCTGTTTCAATCCTATGAAATGGATTTACAAAACAATCCCTACCAAACCCTAAAGGAGTCTTTTGACAGCGAATCTGAGTGTGGTTCCCTTGTGGCTGCTGTACAATCCATCCATTTCAGGGGGCCGTTTGTTTTAGACAAACCCGAGGCAGACCTCCGAAATGAACATGCGGGGCCCGCCCATTTCGCATTTGAGGAATGCAAGTATCAAAGGATCCCCCAGTCTGGCCTCTTTCTGCCACTCTTCTGGCTGCCGATTGACACTTTAAAGCAAGGTTGGGAGACCCAAACAACAATATCTACAAAGCACACTGCAACTCGGAATCCATCATAGGGAGGGCCAAATTGGAAGCTTCCCCATCTTAAGTTTGTGGTTCCAAAATGCTTATGCGGCACCGGCAGCAAAGTGCATGACAAAACTGGGTCCGGACGCTGCGCCTGACCCCGGGCCGTCCTCATAGAGACAATCGCGCCGCAAACCAGCTCACCCCCATGATCGATGAAGGCCTGCCCGGTGCGCCGCACGAGGCCATACCGCACGCACACTTTTGCCTCAAATTGCCATGCTCGTACGAGCCGTGCCCATGCGAACTGATGAGAACACGACATGCTGCTTATGTTTCATCAACATGCTTTGCATACCCTCTCGTCACTGGTCATTCTAACGTGCAACTCCAACTGCTTGCATCACGCACAGATTTAAGCACCGAACTCGCGATATGAGGCTGCTCGGAATATAGTTACGAACTTACCACGCGCAACGCATCCAGCCTCGCCAATCAAAGCCAGGCTCAGGGACAACCAAAGGTCGTCCAGGCTCTGGGCCTGATGCCGATGCCAGCTTGCGAGGGAGCCATGAAAGGGCTCTGGGGTGAAAGCGAAAGGGCATGAAGTACAGGACCGAGCGGAAGTGGAGCCATGAATCCCAGGAATGACTTGCAAGAACAAAGGGTACCCCCATCAACGGCAAAGAGCCTTCCTGCAACACGCACGTTTGAACGAACGTCAAGGACTGCACTACAAGCTGGAAGCAGATAAGGCGCCCACCCTCACCTTTTCCAGCTTGATCACCCATCTGCCTCCGTTCTTGAAGGCTGCGTCCTCAATGCAACTTTGGTATGGCACCCCAAAAACAAAGACCCCACAAAAATGTGCCACGAGCTTCAACACCATCCAAAGCAGGATCCCTACGTTTGGAAACACGTTTGGGCTGGCTTTACACGGAAACAGGGAAACCACGAGACCAAAAGGAAAGGAAACCAACCATTTTGGGGGGGTCCCCGAAAAAGGCACGCCCACAGATACGTGTGGGCCCAACCTTTTGGGAGCGAACGGCGCTTTGTTTGCGTCCGCTCCTCCCAGGCAGGCGCCACACCTGAGCTCCAGCGGCTCCCAACAGAGCAAAAGTCATCCCAAAGAACACCTGCATCTGTCCCCTAGCTGTTTATCCAACTTGAACGGCCAGCGAACATTGAGCTTGTCCAAAAGAGACTCGAACCCGAAAATCAGGAAGCTCTAAAGATGAGATGAGGTCGGTTTCCCTTTAAACACCGCGACAAGGCTTCCTTGTTTTAAGAAAAACAAACGGCGACAACCGTAGTGCGAATCGTCTGAAACGCGTGACCCTTCACGGCTGCTGCTGCCTGCCAACCCTCCCACCAAGGCTTCGGCCCTGCTTGAAAAGCGAGTAGTCCACATTCTCGAGCTTCGAGGGTGGGTAGGAGAAGTGAAACATGCACCAAAAGTCCTGGCTCTCCACTTGCCAAAAACCTCTTGCAAAAACTTGGCCAAACCAGGCCAAACACTGCAAATGGAACTGTGCAGCCTCCAACCATCGGCCATGGACATACGACCTCAGAATGTGCCGACGATTTTGCATGGAACCAACTGCCCGTGGGCACCGTCAAAAACTTGCCACAAGGTCCTCAGCCGTGTTAAAGGAGTGCACCTCCCGCTGGCTTTCGTTCCAGGCCTTGTCCTTGCAACCGAATCGGATCGGGCGAGGCAGCCGCTGAACAAATGGGACCTAAATGCGGTTGCTTACACCAAAAACTAAACTTGGACCACATGGGCAACCACACCTCGGAGCGTGCCCACACAGTGAAATTCCAACCTTGTAGTGCCAAACTCAACACTCAAGCCACATTGGAGGGTTGGAGGATAAACAAGAGCCAACGATAGCGTGGTGCTCAAATGATATGTAATCAGAAGATGCCACAGGCTCCTTCTGCGAACCAGGTCGTTGGTGTACCCACAGGCACCTGGCCATGCACGACCAACCAGCTTCACTCAGTACACTGATATATAGCCAGAGAGGCTGATGTCACCTCGTCAACTTGCATGTGCCTGTGTCAATTGCGGCCAACACACACTTTACTCGGGACAAGGGACGGTCATCACTCCCTTAATAGGGACTTTTAATCATAACCACACCATAGCCCACATAATACTTTGACCATGGCGCACATCACCTTTGGAGAGCGACCATCACAAAAGCTTGCGCAGAACTCCGGCCAGTCACAACCACGCCAGATTCCACCATCGATGCTGCAGTTCATGCTTTGCGGCAGGAGCGCCGTCTTCAGGCTCCTAACTGCGCCAGGACCCTACAACAGTCCCAAGACTGACACTGACAAGTCAAAATAAGTTGAGGTCTTAAACGGTTTGGGCCAGGGTGCCGCACCACAGCAAATCGGATACTATCAGCAAATCATGCCTTGCCGCAGACGACTCTGCTTTGCACAACTCGAGAAAATGGCCAAGGACAATTTGTCAGGAAAGGCAATCCATTGTCTCGCTCTCTTTGCCAAGGCATTCCATGGCCGCGTATGTGGTCCGTTTAGCCCCTTGGTTCTTGAAACCCGGCCTCGGCCTTGGCCTCTAGCGCCTCTGGACTGCTCATGGCCTTCACAGACGGTGCTTGAGGCTTACACGGGTTTGATTGCGGCTCAAATCGAAACGCACATGGTTTCACGAGGTTCATGAGTCATACAGGATTCTCCAACGAAGGACACAAATTGATCGCGCATACTGAGCAGTGCCTTCGCAACTGAAGCAAAAAAGAATCAGAAACAGCTGTTTGGCAAGTGCTGAGGCAAAAGGCTTCGTACAACTGACCACGACAGGAACTTCGGCGCGCAGCCTTGCGGCGCTCCAAGAACGCGAGCTAGCGCCAATGCT